TAACTTTAAGAAGTATCATTTGTCCATGAATATGACAAAAGGAGAAATTGAACTGCCTAAAAGGCACGGTGTAAATTATGTTAGTGTCAAAATGTAGTTGTAATTTATACACATCATGTGAAATTTGTAGAGTCTTTAGCATTTTTTGATTTTTGATAAAAACACTGAAAAAATATAAAGAAATATTATTCTTCGTAAAGAACTTTTTAACAATTTTAGTAGCAAATCGGATAATAAAATATAAAATTAATTTCAAAGAGAGGGTTACAATAAAGATGAGAAGAGCAAGTACATAAACAGAATGAAAAGGGAAGAATAAGAGCTATGTAAAGTACAGAATGAAAAGGAAGAATAAGAGCTATACACGATGTAGTTGATACAAATGTAATTTATCAAAGTGTAGTTGAATACAAATGTAATTTATCGAAAAACGTACCAAAAAACTTAAGACATTGAGAAATATAAAGAAGTTTACCCTTCTCCTAAGCTCTCTAATGTGAACCTATTAAGCAAATTTAAAGCAATGATTCAGATATATAGGATCACAAACACAATGCTTCATATACAAATTCCATATATGTAAATAAAGAAATAAATTAGAAGTGATTTTTCTACTTTGAAGCACTCTTACTGCAATTGAAACCTTCTTAGATGCATATCAATACCAAAACAATTGAAAAAAACTAACTCAAAAAAAATAAATATATCCAAAAGAATCACGAATAAACAAAATACATCTTTTAGAAATGAAGGAGCACCAAATCCAAATTAGTAGAGCACTTCTCAAAATAATAATAATAATCATAAAAATTATAAGAACATTACCCCAAACAAAACCCACTGCTCACATCTGCTGTGCACCTAACTCATTATCATTCTGCAAATCACCACTGAATAATGTCCCAGATAAAGCTTAAGTAAATACAAAAGTATTCAATAAATACCAAAATATTTTGTTTAATTTGAAACTATGAGTAAAAAATATGCCCATCTATTTTAGTTCCAGCTTAATGTTACGTCGTAACCCACAAGATAATAACAATAAACCATGTCAGATAAACATTCATTACATTTAAACTAACCGCATCCTTCATTCATTAGAATTCCAAGACATTAATGTATTACCATGTTAACCTCATAACAAATGCCCTAGACGGGCTTACAGCTTCCAAGTTTAACACTTGCCGTTACACAAAGAGTTTCTAACTCGCTTGTACACATTTAAGCCCTTTGGCTTGAAATTAACATGTAATACATCAAAGTAAAAACGGCAAAACATGCCCGCCACAGCCTCCCAGCTATGTCCTTGGAGGTGCATGCTTCCATGTTACTAGAAAATGATATTCCCATAATAGGGTGAAGCCATCAGCCCGTAGAAATACACTAAACCAACAATGGACAATGACTAAAACATTCAGCAATTGATAGTTGGTCAACACTGATACAATCACAAATTACAATATTTATGTCAACGACTTACTAAGTCCCAATTGCTTTTCATTTTCCCTTTTTCAACAGATAAGCATGCTAGCTCTATCATCATTTCCACAGATATGTATAAAAACTATATCTCAATCCAGATAAGCATAAAAGCTATATCCACAATCTCAACAGATATGTATATCAACAATATCCACGATATAGCATACAAGCTGTATCCACACTCTACAACAGATATGT